AACTAAGGAAGGCCACTTATCTTCCATGTATTTGGAAGAAATAAGACTATTTGGTAGAAAATTCTCAATGTTTTAAAAGCAAACTTTAGTATTACCCTGTCTTAATGACAATACAGCTAAAAATCTGGTGTGTGTTCCTTTTTTTGTATCTAAGAAGTTTGCATATCTTTTCATTTAAGCCTGCCATATTGAGGTACAGTGGTGTTAAATTTCTACTTATGTACACAGGAAAACAATGAAGAATCGCTATATGGAACTCTATGACCTTAATAAAGACTTGCTAAATGGATATAAAATTCGCTGTAACAATCACACAGAGCTACTGGGAAGCCTCAAAGCAGTAAATCAAGCGATTCAAAGAGCAGGTCGTCTGCGTGGTAAGTCACTTTGTAGCACTGTATTTTGCCTGTAATTTGGGGTGAGAACCATTGAAGATGGTGGTAGTTTCAAGAATTCATATCAGGGCTTGTATCTATAAAGATACCTTTCACACTCAGGCTGGTGCCGCTCACTTGAGGTGTAGTCAGCCTATTTTTTGGCTTTAGTCTGTCTCCAGACTTCAGAAGGAAAGAACACTTTCAGCTTCTTCCCTTAGATCTTGCTACATCCTCTAAAGAAAAACCTAGTGACATATGACCAAGAGGAAAGCCTTAAATACTCCTGTCAGAAAAAAAGGGAGACGGAAATTTAATGAGTTAAACGTCCAACTTAAAGTTTAGATAAAGAACAATAGAATAAACCCAAAAAAGTAGAAATATAGCCAGAGATTTATACTTGGAATCTGCTGTTTTGGGTCAGTGCTTTGACCTCCTTTTAGAAATAATCTTTGCTAGGTGGATATGAGCTTTGATCCTTTTCTGTGAAACTGGCTCTTGGTTTCTAGTTGTGAGATGGTCTCTCAGCTTGATTTGTGATAAATTCCCTCACAAAGGTATCTTTTTTAGGGAATGGAAAGATAAATTAGTTAAATTTGCACTACCTACTTTTATGTTGTTTAAAGATGGCCTCTGATTTATAATTTCATTTTTAATAATCTCTTGGCTCATATGGATTTGGTGCTTCTTCTCACACAGTTGGAAAACCAAAGAACCAGGTGATCACTGCTTGTCGGGATGCAATTCGAAGCAACAACATCAACACCCTGTTCCGAATCATGCGGGTGGGGACAGCGTCTTCATAGGAGAGGAAAGAATGGGTAACGAAGTTTGTAGAAAGTGTTTTTCTGTAAAAATCTAGGCTGGTTTGCTTTGAATCACATCCTGTGAACCCTCGGTGCTGAGAATGAAAACAACCTTGGTGAATTGTACAAATGAAAGACGAAGCATTGCATTTGAAAAGTGTATTCTTTCTATTTTTAAATCAGTAGTACTGTTGTCAATACTAGGTTTGTACAGAGGAAAAGGAATACTTTTGAAACATTAGGGCTTCAAAGTCCTGTTTTTCTGTACATATGTAAAATCAGTTATAGAAACATCTTTTTCCTTGAAATTGTAATTGAATTTGTAATTAAAAATAGATTGTCTACTTTTTCATTAAAATTTAAAGGTGTTGCACTTTGTGTTGACTTATTGTAAAATAACCACCATATCAGAGTTACATAAAACTGTCTGTATTATGAGGAGAAAAAAATATGGATATTCAATTTGTGTCTTTTTAAAAACAATCATATCAATTTATTGATGTGTATTTATTAAGAACTTACTTACAGTAAGAATGTTCTCAACTTTGGAACCATGCTCAAAAGTGGAACAAATATATAATACTCTATATAACAAAAATAAGTTTGAAATTTTCAGAGTTGAGTGTGGAGAAATGTGAGTGAGGTCTAATGTAGTTATGGAGGTTTGGCTCAAATTATCTATTCCAGTTTTCTTCTAGTATGACTTCCCTTTCCTGTGAAGAGTGGGAAGCTACAACAGAAATTTCTCCAGTTCATTTTCAGCTGGTGACCCAGGTTCGATACAGCTTCCGTTTCAGGTGCAATCACATGAGACTTGAAATTTGAACTGAGATAGGTGGGATATTGGGCATGTATCCGATGTAGATGGTAGCAAATGTGGCATGGTTCTGGAGCCAAACTCTTTGTCTCGAGGGTTGCTGATTTAGCAGAAATAGATTCTGGATAGTAGGAAAGGTGGCATGATGTGAGACCCTGAAGTTAGAATGGCAGCTTCCTGATTTGCAAATGAGGTTTCCTAGATGCTGAGCCAGAACCGTAACTGTAGCTAATTTAGCAGTAGACTGAGGCAGGCCTGTGTATGTATAAGTAATAAGGGGTGCCTCCTGCTTTCACAGGCAGCTTCCTGATCTGGTAGAAGCAGCAGCTACCTTTGGCAGCCTGGTTCTACAGTACGGACTTAAGACTAGATTCTGGAATTGCAGCCTACAGATTTTTATTCAACCACTAAGAATTCTGTAAGCCCTCTGGCATGCGGTAGTCCCTTTATTCAAATTGTCTTGTGAGGAGTCTCTTCTCTGCATCAGAATATTGACCAATATGAAACCCCAAAGAGAATATATGGAACACATAAAAGGAGAGGTTTGTTTTTTTTTAATGGCTATTTTTAAAAAAGTAAATCAAGTAATTGAGTTGAACAACAGGTCTCACATTGCGATTTCTGTTTTAACTCCTAGTTATTTTCTGCTTCTTTCTCTCGATTCCTCATCTGTCGCTTTACCATTCAGAGGAAAGGTGAGAGAATTTTCACCTGTAACATCTGCGAGGAAATGTTCTCTTGAAACGCAGAAGTATCTTACCGCTAGTTTGCATTGTTTGGTTCCTCCTCGACGTGGTGCAATCATCTTAAACTCATTTTCTGCTTTGTCTTCAAGTGTACATTATCTTTTTTCCTATACTTAAAAAAAACTCTTACTCCTAAACTTCCTTCTTTTTTGTCCTCATTCCCTTTTATTTCTTTTGAAAGATTGCATTTTTTAAAAATTTGGTGTATTTAAACTAAAACAAAGCCAAAAAATAGTTCACCCATTTCTTCCCCCTCCCCCCATACCTCTTTAAACCACCAATCTGTTCTCTGTATCTATGAGCTTCGTTTTTGTTTGTTGTTAGATTCCACATACAAGAGATGATACGGTGTTTGCCTTTCTCTGACTTACTTCACTTAGCATAATGCCCTTGAGGTCCATCTGTGTCAACACAAATGGTAAGTTTTCATTCTTTTTTAAGACTTTTTTTTTAAGGCTTTTTACTAGCTTCCTCCATTCGACCATTTAGGATTACTTCTATTTCTGAGATGTGTGTGTACATCACATTTTCTTTATCCATTCATCCATTAACAGACACAAATTATTTCAATGTCTTGGCTATTGTAAATAATGCTGCAGTGAACTTAGGGATGCAGGTATCTTTTCAAATTAGTGTTTTGTTTTCTTCAGATAAATACCCAGAAGTGGAATTGCTGGATCATGATAGTTCTATTTTTAATTTTTTTGAGGACCCTCTATACTGTTTTCCATAGTTGTAGCACCAATTTACATTCCCACCAACAGTGCATGAGGGTTCCCTTTTCTCCACATCTTCACCAACACTTGTTAGTTCTTGTCTTTTTGGTAACAGCCATTCTAACAGGTGTGAGGTGATATCTCACTGTGGTTTTGATTTCATTTCCTGATGATTAATGATGCTGAACATCTTTTCATGTACCCATCTGTACATATTATGTTGGCCATCTGTATGTCTTCTTTAGAAAAAATGTCCATTCAGATCTTTAGTATGTGTCTTCTTTTTAATCACTGAAAGGTGAGTGTAAACAAATTTGTATTAAGGGTGATTCAATTTAGAGTGATCTATTAGTTGGAGTAATGTTAGCTGCTAAAACAAATAGACCTCAAAATTCATAGTGACTCATTTATTTCTCATTTATGTTAGAATTTCTCTGTAGTTATTCAGGGACACAGATTCCTTTAGTCATATAGCTGTATCATTTCTAGGGCAGCCTTTCTCAACCTGAGTTCTCTTGAGAAATAAGCTTCAGGAAAATGATTTGGGTGACTATTTCACATTCATTGCATACAGTGAAGACCTTATAGCATTGGGGCTTAATTCTCTCACTTGGAACCCCATTTGAGAAGTGTTGTTTTGGGCCTTAGTTATTTATATCAAAGCCACTGGAAAAGCAAAGGTTTTAAAAGCTCTAGTCTGGAAATAGGACACTATCATTTCCACTCACATTCCATTAGCTAACGTGGCCACACCTCATGGCAAGGAGGCCAGGAAATGTTACCTGGTTATATGCCTGCAAGGAAGAGAAAGCTGGTGTTTGTGCCAACAGCTAGCAACTCCTTCCCTAAGAGTTAAAACTTTGCCTTAAGGTAGATTTTAGGGCTGGTTTAGTGCCAAAACATTAGTTTCACATCTTAAAAGCATTCATAAGTAGTTGAGGGAAAAGGCCTTGTCTCTGTGGTCAGTTAATTTTACTAGCTTCCTCCATTTGACCATTTAGGATTACTTCTATTTCTGAAATGTGAGCTTTAAGGAGTCCTACTTTTTATAAGACTGTTTGCCCCTGTAATAACTTTGTTTTGCATTTTCAACCTGTAAGCTCAAAAGATATCCACATATTCTATTTTATTTTCAGTAATCCTCAAAATAGTAAAGTATCTTACCTGCTTCAAAGATGGGGAAACTAGTGTTAGGGATTAATTACTTGCCAGAGTCACAGAGCTACTGGCAAAACTCAGGTCCCACTGTGAAGTCCTTCTGTTTTAGCCATAGTCTTATACGTTCTGAGATTAAAATTTCTAGTTGGTATTGGTTTTAAATTGTATGGCACCATTCATTTTTAGGGACCCTTAAACAATAATCTCATTAAAGATCATTCTGTTGTTCTTTGGTATGAAAACTTCCTTCTTATACCTAAAAATATTCATGGGCAAGGCTTGAAGGGGTCGACCTGCAGGAAGATATCTTTTAATAGCCCTGATATATAGCTTACAAGTCAGTTATTTTCACATTAATTTGATCCTCTTGATATTAGTATCTCTGAGCTCAGAGAGGCAGAATGTAGGGTCCTACAGCTTGGAAAGTTGCAGTGTGGAAGTTTGAAACCAAGTAGTCATGGCCCTTTCTACTATTTCTAACTGGTCCCAAGTGAGTGAAGACTAGATGAGAGCAAAATGTTCATAAAACACTAACTAAATCACCTTTTTTATCCTCCTGTAAGTCATGTTCAGCTTAGGGGAGAGAAAAACTGTTCGGTTATCAGCTACTTCTCTATTTTGTTGCCATATTTTTCTATCCTGTAGAATCTGAGTACCTTCTAGAAGCTACAGCTTTAGCTCTGTTTTGTTGCTGAATTTTGTTGAAGCTTTAAGTGAACACCCTGCCTTTATTTAAAAGTTGATCTTGAGGGTTCAGGTATGTGGGAGAACACTTTCTAGTCATTTTTTGAGCTTTCCCTTTAAAGTCACCCTTTTCACACCAGATTCAGGTATTCAATATTTTAGAGAGAGTATAGTTTTTATTATTTCCCACCATGTCTGCCTATTCAAATGCATTAAGGCTCAGTTCAGATGCTTTCGAGACCTCCCTCTCTCATGTCTATTCTTTAACCCTTTTTACATTCGGTGTTTATATAAATCTTAATCCCCTATTAAATAAGAGCAGAGGCTGCATCTTAATCAGCTTTATCCTCCGCACAGTGCTGAGCCAGTGCCTTGCGCACAGAAAAGCATCTGCTGCTCTCTGTGGGAGTGTCTGTTCTCACTAAGCCTGTCAGTAGCTTCAGAAACCAAAGAACTAGGAACTTTACAACTATTAATTGCAACCCTAGAAGGGCTTTACCAGAAAAATTTTCAACATTATTAACATTTCAAATTTTATAATTAGCAGTTATAAATCTGCCAGTGCAAAGTCCTGTGATCATAGAACTAAATTATCTCCAATTTCACTTTGACACTAAAATACAGTAAGATACCCATTACAGCCTGGTGTTTTGCATTTTTGCCTCTTGCCCATCTGGTCCCTCACCACACTATATGTTCATGAGTCATCTTTTTATTTGTTTGGTACAGAAATCTGCTATTCCTGAAATGAAACCACATGTACAATTTCCAAGTAGTTTTCAAAATTGTCTGTGTGGACTGATTTTAAATCAATCAGAGAAGGAATCATCTGCTTTTGTAGGCATGTCCAAGTTTCCCATGTGGGCTGGAGAGCCTGCCTCTGGTATCAAGGACCCTTTTAACAGGATTTGTGTTTTCTCATTCAGTTGTAGTGGTAAGTATCTAATGGTGTTGAAGAGATAATGTAGCCAGAACCTCTTTGTTAAGGAAATGCTGGTCTGGGACAGATAGCCCAAGCATTGATTTCTCTCAGTAGTCTATGGGAAAGAAACACCACATTCAGAGGAGTTTGGGAGACAGTCAATGAGCTGTAGAAAAGCCAGGTTCACAACCTAACAGCCTCTTTCTCTTCTAGGCTTCATTTTCTATGTCTTTAAATGAGGAACTGAAGTTAGATTATTTATAGAGTTCTTCCTTAAACATTTTACTTTTCCTTCTCCTAAAAGAAATACTAATAAGCTCTCAAATACCTTTATGAAAATGTTCTTAATGTATATCATGATAAAGGGGATTTATGGGGACTTGACCTTACACAGTTGTAGGAACTGGCAAAGTAGTCTCTGTATGTTCTCTAGTCCGATGCTGGAACTTAAAGCCCACAGGACAGGCAGTCAGGATGTAGAGCTGGGAAGGACAAGAACAAGCTGGAACCACAGGCACGAGATGGAGCCTATGAAGACATGTTAAAATCTGTGGCAGTTCTTGCCTGTGACCTTGATGGTGTGGGCATCCTGCAGAAACTGAGGCCCTTCAGAAAAACTGAAGGAAGATCCAGGGGAAGGTGGAGCAGTTGCAGGTGTAGACATGGATTCACACTGAGAAGGTGAGCCAGTAGGTAAGCTACAGGGTGTGTGAGTTACGGAATGGCTGCTGCCTCATTTGGGCCCTCCGTGTCTTGCACAAGAATTTGTGGCTTATCCTAACTGGAAACATGGAAAGGGAATGTAGTTCAGTCCAGCCAAGTTGATATATCACAAAGTACCATGGTGGTTGTCACAGGATGGTGGGGTTCCAGGTGACCTTTACTTTGTATTTTCACAACGTTGTATTAACTCTTCACAATGAACATGTGTCATCCATATAATCTGAAAAAAATATAAAGCTATTCTCTTTGGGGGGAAAAATCTTCCTTTATTAAAAGGAACTATAAGAATTGGAAGTTCATTGTTAAGAATTAAGAAAGGGTGACATATCATACAGGTGACCATCATAGCTTTTATCTGCAAGAAGTATAAAAAGGATGCCCATGTTTTAATTCTTTTGCTACTTAACAGTTGTCGACATTCGTTCCAGGCCCTAAAAAGCAACATGAAGAATGAAATACTGAGGAAAATCAACTTCTTAATCACTGGGTATCTTCAGTGCAGAAAAGTGACCTGCAAGTTACACCATCCTTCACAGTCTAAGAGGTACTGCTGTAGATGATGTAACTGACTGCAACATCACAGTCTGGCTCTCAGGGATTCCCTCCCCTTGGACACCAGAGTCCTTTTCTGTAGTGTGTATATTCTGCTGTGTTGATAGACCATAAACACACTGAGATTAAGGAGAACTTAACAAGTAAATTTAATTCCTTGTGGAGGATCTAAGACTTAGACTCAGGGCTCCAGAACTTTTAGATGTTACTTTGGACCGTAAGTCTAAAACTATTTTCCAAGGTTGGCACACATGATGGTTTCTGGGCTCAGCCCTATTCCCTGGGGCTTCCTGGGTGATGCCACTGACAGGGAGTTAACTAGAACTTCACCCTTCTCACTCCCACTCACATAAACACATTAGAAAGCAACTGAGTGAAAGTAATGGTATAGGGATGACCTTCAGTCTGCAGGAACTTGAAACAAAAGGCAAGCTTTGAAATTTAAACCATTAGTGACAGAGTCGCAGTTGTAATCCTACTTGAGTGTCACCAAGCTATGATTAAAAAATTGTGGTCCCCAAAACAGTATGCATGCAAATGGTCCATTGCCATGTGAGTGGGGAAAGACAGTATTAGAACTAGTTCTAGGCATTTCTTTTTATCTCACCCTTTAAAAATTTGTAAGTGTTTGTACTTAATATTAGTAAATGTATAAAATTCATAAATACCCATATAATGGGCATACATGTGAAAACATTTTTTATTGACTGGCATGCAAAATCAAATTTTTGAAACCATCAACCTAAAAGAAAGTGAAACTTATTTTCTTCATTTAAATGGAAATTTTAGAAAAAAGTTAGTACTCAAAATCTTAGGAGATAAAAGAAGATAAAGTCCAATGCTTTTCCTATCAGTTAGTAAAATCCAAAATAAAAGCTACTGCAATAGCTAATAATAAATGTAAAAAGGAAAAGCTTAACAGGGAAACAGCATTGGGATGGAACGAGAATAGCATCTTTCAACTAAAGAGGCAGTGACAGCTTACACATCCATCCACGCACACCCACGCACACAGGCAGTAGCTATTATATAATCCCTCAGTGTAGGGGAAAGAGAATGTAACAACATGGACAGCCTCTTGGCGTCTTGATGTGGCCTTTAGCATTTGATTTCTTAAAGAAAAGAAACGCAACTAGTGTTACAGTGACTTTATTGTACTTAGGAAATGAAAGCCATGTATGAGATAAGCATCATTTAGTTGTACTGGAGCCCTAACTCCAGGATGAAGGAGCCCTGGCCACCTGGAAATGGCTACCCCCAGCACAAGCATACATCTTCCTTACTGACCCAAAGTCTCCTGGGGCCACAGGGTTTTAGGCCAGGCCTTTTCCAAGGGAATATACTACACATCGTCTAGGTCTGTTCAGTCCAGGAAGCGTCACAGTGGGACAAAGCCACAGGCAGTGGGAGGAAGTGTAATGGGCCCAGAATGAACAAGATGTGAAGTTCTGTAATCGTCTAAATCAGTGTGATTAGGAAGGGAAGAATCCACAATCATAAATTTATGAGTATATATTTAAAAAAGGTCACTAGGAACATGGATGAACCTCGAAGATTTTATGCTGAAATAATAAGCCAGTCACAAAAGGACAAATATTCTGCTATTTGTCTTGTGAGGAATATGAGTTGTCAGATTCATAGAAAGTAGAATGGTGTTTGTGAGAGGCTTGAGGAGGGGAAGTAGGGAGTTACTATTTAATGGGGACAGAGTTTCAGTTTGGGAAGATGGAAAAGTTCTGGAGATGGATGGTGGCTGCACAACAATGTGATTGTACTTAATGTCACTGTACTGTACCCTAAAAAATGGTGAAAGTGGTACATTTTATGGCACATATATTTTACCACACACACAGAATTTTTTTTAATCACTGAAGAAGCTAATATAGAAAACAGAACTGAATGTTAAAGAAAAAGCCAAACACTTTTTGTTTTTTAAATCAAGCTATAAGTACCTAGCTCCCAGCTCAAGGTCTACACTGAGGACAGTCATCTTGAGCCCTACTAAAGGACAACCACACAGTTCTAAGAACGCTGCCTCCCAGGTCACCTCGTGGCTCTCCTTCACTCAATGCCTACCTCTTCCAGATGTCCCAGCACTGCGGAAGGCTCTTCTCCTTTTGCAGCTTTGCCCAGCCTTGTCATTCATAATAGACAAATGAAAAGTCCCAGAAACCTGTTCTGTGTGGGAAGGTTTTTTTTTGTTCTAGGCTTCGGTGGTTAATATGTTTGACAAATTTCAGAGTCTCTCTATCTCTGTAGACCAATGCCAAAGAATTGTTTTCTGGATTCACTGTTAGCAGCTGAAATAGGCAAATACAATGATACATCAGAACACAGAACTTAATGTCACCTCTTCAGTGATTCACCACTGAACAGCTGCTGGTTTCCATTATCATGTACTCAGACTGGTGATAGGGGATCCTTTAAAAGATCCCTTACTAGGAAGAGCTATTAATATTGCTCTGGCCATCAAGACATTTTCCAAAACCCCCACTCTGGTACATACCCATAAAGGTTCTACCTAATGCATTTATTTCTCACTACACTGAAAGATTCATAGGATTGCACTATCTGACTCTTTATTTGGAATTTCTCAGCTGGCTAGAATGAAGGCTTAGTGATTATCTTTTAGCATCTTTATTTCATGCTGAGTATTTTCTACTAGAAATTTGAACCTCTGCCAGGCAGACCAACATGGATTTATCAGTTAAAGGCACTGGCAGAAGAGGGTCATAACAGTTGGGTCTCTGAATAACGAAAGTGTCTTCATGAACTAAAAAGGATAGTTTGCTGTCAGAAGCAACTTACCTCTTCATCTTCACCTTTGGCAATGTAGGAGGTAAAGCCACCATATTCTGGCTCCCAGCCTTACAAAGGGAAAACAAACGGTATTCAGAAACCTCTCAGTGCAAGAGTTTCATCATCTGTTTAAATCACTGATCTGCTGCTGCTTAAAACTGGGGGATCTGGGAGTTCAGTAGTAATCAACTCTGACTTATGAGTCTGAACTTGCCATCGAATCAATAAAGAGTAAGAAGTGAAAACTCAGAACTAAATATAAAATATACCTGGAAGGACAATTGCCTAAAAGCTCTAGAGGGTTCCTTAGAGGGAAATTATGGTTCAGTCCATCTGCTATACCTCAATCACAGACACAAATCATACTTTGAGTTGGAAGACTTAAATTCATGACCCCTAAGATTGCTTCCAACACAGAGCTCCTGTGATCTGAGATCCTGGCCATGGCAAGTTACTTTTGAACTTGTTCAGCTGGACCGGGTCCCTCAGGAGAGACTGCCCCTCTTACCTTCACAGCCACAGTAGAAAAGTAAGTCCAGGGCAAATTCAGTCTTGCTGTTGTCATGGATTAAAGTGTAGTGACCAGTCTTCCAATGTCTCAGTTCCCCCTGGCATGTGGGAATACTTGATTCTAAGAAAAAACAACAGAAGGCCAGAAAAAAAAAATTAAAATAATCTTGATGCCACTGCTAGATTGCAAAGGAATGATAATTAGGAATAGTACAGCCCTGAAGAAAGACCATTTCCATAAATCTCAACTGACCTACTGCTCCATTATAATATTATATATAATATGTAAGCCTTATAATGATTAGCAGAAATTACCATTTCTGACTATTTGAGGGAAAAACGTTGACTTTCTGTTTCTCTCTTTACTGTAAATTTCAGATGGAGCATATACTTAAGCTGTGAAACTGTCACTGGTCCTTTAAATCCCCTGCAAGTCACTTAAGCCAGATGGGGACGGGCTTGCAACAATGGGAGGTTGTGCAACAACGATGGCTGCCCACTTCTATGTTTGCATCTCTGGATCAAAAGCAGCAATCAGCAACGGAACCAGAGCCCCAGTATTTGGAGGACAGGGTCCCCTTTGCCTACCCTGGCTCCCGCAAGCTGTGCACAGCTGCTGGCTGAGGGTGAGGAGTGGGTAGCTACTGTGCTAAGACCTGAAACTGATCAAATAACTGCAATCTATCATCACAGCCTTCCCCTGGAAGTTGCAAGCCTTCAAGAGACTCCAGAGGTCCAAAACAGGTACACTGGACAGATTCTACAAGTGCAACTGTCTTCTAGTTGGTGCCTCTAACTTTGCTATCTTCTCAGAATCCTCTGACTATTGTTTTATCTACCCTTGGGGTACAGAAGAGATTTCTAAGTCTATCACCACCAAAAGCAGAAACCATGAAAGGCTAATACAGTCCTGAGTATGGAAACATTTTATGAAACTGAAAAAGTTGTAAATGAAAATAAAAATAACAAAAGCTCAAAGGAAAACTATGCTGAGGTCATGAAAGGCAATTTGTGAAAGAAAATCATCAAATAACCGATAAATACAGGGAAAAATGTAGACTCATTGATCAATGAAAGGCAAATCCCGAAAAGTTGGAAAATACAATTATTAGTTTGTCAAGGAAGAAGGAAACCACCATCATGTACCACAGCGCTGGGAGAGCAAGCTGACACAAACTCTGGGGAGGAGAACTGCCTTAGAATCTGGTGCAGTCTTGGATAGAGCGCTTGCCTTTCTCCAAGGCTATTCTGAAGAAAGAAATGGTTGCATCGTTGTTTATTATGATAGTGAAGAACTGGAAAGAATCTGAATGTCCAACACAGGGCTGGCTAAGGTCATCTGATGAAAGACACTACAGTCATTAGAAATTACATTAGGGAACAGTGGCTTTCAAAACTTTTAACTGTGGAATACATTCTTCAAATAAAAGTTTCTAGAAATGCAGTGTTGGCAAGGAGCTATCTCTAAAGCTACTTTGGGGGAGGCAAGGGCTTCCTAACTGAGGTGTTGCACAGACCTGTTACATAAGAATGTAACATAACAAGAGATTCATTAAATATTAAGTGGGAAAAATATATCATCCCATTAAGACATGAGTGTATATACACACAAACGCCTGTATATATGCAAATATGTATGTGCCTACAGAGCAACAAAGACTGGAAGGATCTGTTCTAAATGTCAATAGTGGCCACCTGTGGATGATGATTATTTTCTTTTTTCTTGTTTTCCAAACATTCTGAAGTTGTCGTGTTCTTTTTATAGTATTAAAAAATTCATAATTGTCAGGTCTGCAATGGTCCTGGTTCTCTTGCTGGATGTGCCCAATCTCTGCCAGCAATTAATCCTGCTATTACATGCCTCACAGACTTTACAGCTTTTACTTTAGAAAGTTTTATAGCTTTTCTTTAAGAGGGTAAATTTTATAAATAGTGACTTTTCTTAGTTACTTTTGTATTCCCCACTCTAGTTTGGCCCAGGGCATTGCATACAGTAGATGCTCAATAATAGAGTAAAGCATCTTTTGGTTGCCTGTGTAGATTTCCTTCCAAGTTGTAGATTCCCTTAAAAAATGAAACCAAAAAGGAATAGAAGTGGACAAATACTTTTTTAAAAAGCTCTTGAGGCCCCACAGATCTTCACCTGATTCCTTTCAGGGTCTAGGTACAGATGCCAATATCGACTATGAAGGAAAACCAACCTTTCAAAGAAAGGCTGTTGTGTCTATTGATGCCAGCCACCTGTGTCTGGTTTTTCTAAATATCTGTGGTGACCAAGGGGACAGGTCGGTCAGTTTGGGAGGCTACAGAACCTGAGTTATGTCGCTCATGGTTAGCAACTCACACTGAGGGTTTTGATCCCCGGGCGTCCACCTCCCTTGTCTCTGCTCTTCAAACAGCATGGCATCCTCCTCAAGAGATTAGAGAGGAAGCAGCGGAGGGTAAGACTGAGGAGAGGAGCTGGGTAACAGATCTCATCTGATTTAGCAGGTGCTGAAACACGCAAGCTGAATTTATAGCTGCTCAGCTAACGGTGCAACAACGAAATTTCCACAGAAGTGTTCCTCTTAAGTTTCCTGTATCTTTCTCTTTTCCATCTCGTTTGTAGATGATTAAACTTCCTCTACTTTCAATAATTTCCTTCTATCTATTTGTCCAAATTCAAGCAAGTTTTTCTCAGTCTGTTACAGGCTTAACAGAAAGAAGCCACTCACCTTCCTCTCCTTTATGTTCTTGTGTTTTAGTCATTTTAGACGAAGCCACTTGTATTTCTCTCCACCATTTGTATTGCTGTTAGCCTAACAGACCAGCTGTTCTTCCTACCTAGAATGCTCTTCCCACAAATCCTTGTCTTTCAGATCTGAGATTAGATGTCAGCTCCTCAGACAGGCTTTTCCACATTGCCCCATTCACCTGAGAGGCCACCTTCCTCAGCACATAACCCTATTAAAATTGTCTGCACAGCACCTGTCCTTATTTGATGTTTTCTTGTTGTTTGTGTATCACTGAGTCTATGTCTCCTACTGGAACATAAGCTCAGGGAGAGCACAGACCTATCTCTCTTGATCTCCAGTTCCTGAAACAGGGCCGACCACAGAGTAGGTGCTCCAGAAATATTTGCGGCATGAATAAATGACTGAATTGTGAACACTTCATGGTAAATAATGACAATGCGTACCAGCAGCTTACCTTTCTTTGCTTCGTCTTCCTCTGGCTCTGGGTCTGTCTGCTCACTGCTCGGTTGGCTCTTGTTGCTGACAGCCGCCTGACTCTTCTCTGGCTCAGAGGAGCTGTGGCTAGTCCCTTCTTCAGTGTTATCGGCAGCAGAGGCTGCTTCTCCCTCTTTTTTGTCCTCAACCTCATCTTCTTCTGAGGGGGCCAAGAAGTGAAGTCTCAGGCCTGTGAAGTTGGAGAGCAGCAAGAACATTGCCTCGGAGCGAAATAAAGCCATGCAGTCCTTCAGGACGTCAGGAAGCCCGTTCTCCTCAGCTTTCTCGTAAAACCTGAAAGGCAGCAGTGCCAAGGTGTTCATCAAAGCCACAGATGTAAAATTACTCATGAATGAAAGCTTTGTACCTCTCTCCCTAAACCCTGGCATAACTTACTAAAGTACAAGTTGTTACAATAGTGAGATTCTGTTAGGGTCTGCTACTGGATGTCCCTGGGAACAAAACATCATTAGGGCAAATGTCCTATTATTAGAGGTAACCCTTGTGGACAAATAGGAGGTGCTGAATACAGGAATAAACGTCTTGGACGATGGTTTCTACCTTTTGTTAGGAGGACCTCGGCTGCTCCATTCCACATCTCCTTTCTCCAAAGCCTCACACACCTCTGCAAATTTCTCAGGCTGGAAAATGAGTAAATAAAACAGCAGTTAGCAAGTCTCCTTATGATTTCACACTGGTCTGGCAGGTACAGCAGCTCTGCAGAATCATTCTGGCTGGTTCCTCAAACGGCCAAGTGGCTCTCACACCTTTCACATGAGATTCCCCAGTCCTGGTATGGTGAAGCCAGAGCAAAGACTGGATAAATCATCAGCATTCTTTAGCCAAGTGACCTGAGTGTCAATTTGGGGCATTTTCTTAAGTAGTTGTATGTCCTATGACAAATTGCTAAACCTCTCAAATTCCTGTGTTTATAACATGAGGATCATAATACAGACTTAAAAAAAATTTTTTTTAATGGAGTTATTGGGTATTGAACTGAGGAACTTGTGCATGCTAAACACACTCTACCACTGAGCTATACCCTCCCCCCAAACTCTTTAATGCATTAAGATGTGAGAAAAATAATTAAACTGCATAAACAGGCAAAGTTACAATCAAAATGTCTATATAATAATACAGATTCTTTAGGCCTTAGCTCATTCCCTTTAATTAGCATTCTCAAAGTCTAGTATAGTACAAGAGGCTGATTAATCTATTGAAATATTCTCAATATAAAGAAGCTTTATAAGTACTTGTTTAATGCATTTTCCTAAGGAGGGTTCTACAAACAGTAATCCTATCAGTTGTAAAACAGGAAAGAGGATCCCCAAGCATGGTTTAGGTAACCAGCTGAATTAAGTAGGGTTAAAGAAGTTTATTTACTGTAATACTTCTTAAATTCCTTGGCAGGAAGGATTTAAGGAATTATGCTATTGGCAGCTATACAGTTCCAAGAGAGGCAGTGTGTAGTCTCTCTCAATCTTTTTTCGTGGAGGGACCAGCTCTTGGGACTGTGATTCCATGGGACCCGGGGCCAACTGGGAAGCACCACGTCAGCGTGTGTGATCTCGTTTGGCCCTCACAACTCTTTAAGATGGGCAAGGCAGGTGTCGCCAGGTTTAACTGATGATCAAATAAAAACTGAGATCTTTAGTGATTTGCTCAGATCAGTAAAACCACACAGCCAAGGCATGACTATAAATTCTCTGACTTTTGATCTAGTTCTCGCTCCACTATAACGTGCCCATCATTCTCAAACACTTGTTAATAGGTGTTGATCAATTAGTAATATATTAGTAAAAGTAACAGTAAACACCATAGTCATCAAGTGAATAGGAGGGGAACTACACACAACCCCCAGTATAGAAGTGTGTGTGTGTGTACCATTAAAGATTCTGCAGAACTGGGGAGTACCCAAGGGACTCAACCCACTAACAAGCATCTGATACCAAGGTTACCTATTACCATCATTTCTCTATTTTATTTGAAGATGAGGATGACAGACTTTCTAATCTGGAACAAAACAAAAAGCAACATAAACTCTCTTAGTGATGCCTATTCAACTACCCGAAAAGGAAGACTACGTGCCAAACATGACATATTGGACAGGATATGCTGACCTACCTTAAGGAACTCTTTTAGGAGAATTTCAGAGCTTTCTTCAAAGTCTTCCTGAATTTGTACTTGGTACTCCATATTGAGATAAGTAGGGTTGATCCAATCATACAAAATTTCATGCTGCAAAGAAGCAGCAAATGCAAAGAGTGAGTAAATAATTCCTACTGCCTTTGTCCTGACATTATTTCACACTAGTAAAACATATGCAAATCCTCATTTATAATTTTTTCCTTGTTAAATAAAGTTCTGGAAAAGCTCTGCCTTAGACTTTATGAAAGTGTACCTAAGAAGGGTGGAAAGGCAAGCTTAAAGCCTAGTTTCATTATCAAGATGGGCCACTTTTAAAACCAGAAAAACAAATGATACACCACAGATTCTAAGATGAGAATTCCAGCAACAGGAATTTATCCTTACATCTTGCGGGATGTGAGGGCTCCGAGGTACGGGGGGTTCAAAGTAGTTGGGAGGCCTGGACACCGAAGGACCATGAAACCAGCCGCTGATAGACAAACGCGACTTTTCTTCAGACAGGACTTCAGATACCTGAAAAGACAAGACCAGCAGCACAAAGAATATTAACGCATAGAATAGAGGAAAAGAGTACCAGGCAACACACACTGATTTCAGGGCCCTTCACACACTGTCTGAAAACAACCGGAAGCTGTCACATTCAGATAATGGGTGACTGAAAAGCATGCTCTTTGGCACTCAAAGTATTTGTGGCTTACAGTCTTTACCTGGTGAAAGGATACTGGAGACACTTCAAAGAAAACCAGTGTGTTCCACGAAGGGATAAGAGACTTGACAATCTGCTTCGGCTGGAAGTGTTCTGCACCAGGAGAGAACACATCCATAAACGTGGTTTCATGATCATTAACCACTTCCAGGCAGCCTCGTTTCATCTTGACCATTCACATATCTCTAAGGGTATCTAGATGTCCCCTTCAGGTCCTCAAATGCCACCCCTTCCGCTTCTCTTATACTTGCTAGTTCTGCTAGGCGACATCTGTTTCTTACCACACCTTTCATCTAGTACTGATAAAGGGTGGAAAAACTTCTGAACATTTTCTGGAGTCCAACTCTAGTGTTAATCATTCAAACAAAAAAAAGGTCCCTGACCTCCTGCCAAATGGGCTGGTCCGGGCAGATTCATAGCCACAGGCAGCTGTGTACAGCTCTCTTCCCTTCCATGGCCAGCATTCAGAGGCAGGGTTTGACTGTTCCCCATCTCAAATTGACTCTCATTTATCTCTGGAGTAACGATTATTTCAAGTACAACTTAGACAGGTGGTTCTCAGGGCTGGTGTTCATTCCCCCAGCAGTCATCACTCTGGTGGACAGCTTCTGTCTCCTTAGTGGAGTGCAGACACTGTGTATGAGAACTCAGAAGTGGCTGCTGGTGTTGAAGGGCATGCACGGGTCTTACCATCGACACTGTACAGGTCCAGGGTGCCCCCCAAGCTCCTGTCCCAGGGAGGAACCAGGTAGAGAATGAAGGCTATCCGGCGCCCTTCCAGCTCGTCGTCATGGCAGAGCAGGGCATCTGCAACAGTTTAACGCACACCTGCATGTCCCTGAGCGGACAGGGAGCAGCTGACATCTGATTCTGCGCTTCCTAACTGTCCATCTCATAGTCCTCTGAAATGTCAGCTCCTCTAGCTTTAAAATGACACTTATTTCTCCTCTTTTATAATTACAGAAATAGAACTGTCAATATGGGAAACTCTAAAAACACTGAAGAACACATACATAATAAATAACTCAGAGATAATCATTAATATTTTTACATATATTCTTCTAGTACTTTTCCAACATACATGTATTAGCTTTTTAAAAATATTCTACACTGGCTGTTTTGTGACCTGCTTTTTTTTTTGTTTTTATTACACAGCAAGCGTCTTCCACATAAATACACACACTTAGCATCTTTTAATGGCTGGATACCTATTCCACTATATGGATTATGAATTACCTCCCTCCCCCTTTAATCAATCTTCAATTTGTTAACTAAGTTGTTTCCATTCCTTGTCTATTATAAAGACTGCTTTAATGAACATCATTGTATATAGCTTTTTTGTACTTTTTTTCTTTAAGAATATATTCACTTATTACCTTCAAAAGGAAAAAAAAAAGGAAAAAAGGCATTGAGGGAGATATCTGTTTCCTAGGAGAGTAAGAGTAGAGTTTATAATATCACCTCTGAATTTCCTGATATTGTATGCAAAGTGTGAGTGTGCATTATCAACATTTTTCTGAAAATATCAAAACTGAGCAGGACCCTGCATGGATCTTCCTAAGTACAAAAGCCCTTCTGTGTCCCCCCGTTTCTTGTTTATAGGATAAAAAAAACGCTAGACCTTCCCCGAGTTCCCAAGAGCAGGCTCAAGCAGTTAATGATTAGGACAGCAGAATAACAGGGCTCCTAACTCCTCCTGAAGGGATGTAGATAACAATCTGATGCATGTACTTGAGTTGTTCTGCAGAAACTTAAGAACTCCCTACTACTCAGGTGAAGGATGGTGACTACATGGCACTACATACCACAGGCACTAGACCCCAGACTGGCTGGAACCAGAAGGTTGATGATTGAGATTCCTGAAACATGACTCTGTTACCTCACCACCAACCAATCAGAAGGTTCCATGAGCTGATGATCCTGTATCCTACCACCCTCTCCCCTAACACTAGATTAAGAACCCCTGCCTGAAAGCCATCCAGGAGTCTGGAGTTTTTGAGCATGAGCTGCCTGTTCCTGTTTGGTGCCCTCACTTTGCTGCAAACACCTGCCATCAGAGTTTGGCTTTCTGTGCTGTGGGCCATGAGCTTGGTTACAATATGGTCAACAGCTTTCATCATATTCCCCAAAAGAACCACTGCCTTATACCTTCCAATAAGATGGGCATTTCTGTATATGAGCTGGATCAGATCTTCCTCATTAAGAAGATTCTAACTCTGTGCAGGAACACGTAGTCTAGGATTTTGGTACACAGTCACCATCATTGTTTAGTTAAAGCCTTTAAATCTTAGACACATCAGGGTTTTATCTTTCTTACCTGAGAATTCATATTTAGCACAGGACATGTCAATGGTTGATTCCAGGTCAATCTTGGAAATGTCAGAAAGCCAAGCCCGGAAATGTTCAAACAGAATTTTCCTAGAAATGTAAACAAAAGATAACTTGTTATACCATCATGTGGGCTCCATTTGGATCTACACCACAGTTTTCTCCTGGAGGTTTCAGTGTATGTGAGAACCATTCTCGAGAACGTCCCTCACTTTAAACTTGCATAGTTTAGGACTAATATTCCGACAAGTAAATGTAAGCCTTTCTACTGTAATGTATTTTTGTTCCACTGTTTCATTTTATTTTCTTCCTCCTAAATTTATAATACTGCCTGTCATGGTAGAGGTCTGACTTTTGTCATAACAATTTATCACACCAATGTTCCAGTCTAAAGTTAAGGATTTTTAGACACGTTTTTCAGCACTAATACTTGCTCCATTGTTTAATGAACACTTGGGTAGATGACACTGTTGTAAATTAAAAACTTTAAATTGCAATAATGGTGAATATTATGCTAACTGTGCAATAATCAGTAGACTTTTTCACAGAAGTTCTGGTATTAACAGGATACCAAAAAATGATGGTGGAACACTTCCATTTCCCAGCGTAAGTGGCTCTGTTTAGAAATCTCTTTAATAAATTTAAAACTCACTCAGCCAACTTTGAAATTCTGCTAACCTCGATGAATTAAAAACACTTAATGTCAATTATATCTCAATAAAACTAGAAAATATTTTTGAAAACATTTTAAAGGGTCTATATTAGTTCAAATTTTGCAAATGAGGGGAGTATTTTCTCTATCATCTTAGTCCAAATGTACATAACGGAAATCCCCATAAATTGCAGTTGTGCTGTTGATAACTAAATATCAAGTCTCCATGTTGATCCTTTGACATTTTATTACCAAATATCTTTTTATGGGCAGAGTTGCAAATTATACAGAATAGGCCAACACAGCAAACCCTAAACCAGGCTTCAGGTAGTGTGGGTGCTCAACATTTCTGCCAAGTCTTACGTCCTGATACTTTATGCACCTAATATTATCAGAAGCCTTCAGGCCCTCTTTTACTGGTAACATCAGCTTCCAAAATGTATTCCATAGGAAGATCCTCTTCCAGTCTTGACAGGTGGCCATTTCATTTGTATGTAATTTTTCACCATTATAAACAACATTACTATAAACAATCTTGTATGGAATCTTTGAGTATATCCTTACTTATTTTCTCAGGATAAATTCTTGTAAGTATAATTACACTACAAAAAGACAAGCATCATTTTAAGGGTTTTGATACATCTTTCAAAACAACCTTCTAAGAAAGACTGCAGCCATGTATAAAGGTATCTGTATTTCTGGAGTTTTTTTTTGATATTTGCCAACCAAATATGTCAAAGATGGTACCTCCAGCGTTAATTTGTTTCCTTGATTACTAATAAGGTTGAACATTCTATCATAGAGAACTTGGGCCATGGAATCCGACAGACTTGGGTTTGTAAGGGCTTGTATCTTAGCTCCCTCAATCTTTACCTTGGTAGCTTTGAAGAAGTTACTTAATTTCTCAAGAGTCTGTTTCCTCCTCTACGAAGAGGGCAATGATGCCAACAAAGACTGTAAATGACATAACATTTAAAGCACTTACTCCTCTGCCCAGCACACATTAGGCACCCAACAAATATGAATCCTTGTTTACCTTAAAGCACAGATGTGAGGCTCTCTTCTCTTCTTCAAATCATCAGACTTTATCATGAAAAAAGAAAAAAAGGATTTCCTTCAGAAATCGGGCACACAGAGGAGAGGAGTTCAGTGAGGACTCTGGAAGCACGGCATTGTGGTTAAGGGCCTGGACTCTGAAGCCAAACTGCTTAGGTTTGATGCATGGCCCCTCTGTTTGGCAGCTCTGTGACTCAGGCAACTTAGCCTCTCTCTGCCTTATTCACCCAACAAATACTTACATAGTTATTATAGTGGAGTTTATATTCTTGAGGGAGAGAGACAATTAACCTAAAAGTTGATTATTAGTATTAGAGAAGGTGATAAATATATGAGGAAAATAAGAGTATGAGGGACCAGGGGTGGGGAGATGGGGAATGGTTTGCAAATGAAGGTTAGACTTCACTGAGATGAGGCAAAGACTTGACGGAGGTTGGGAGGTGTGCCAACAGAATGTCTAGGCAAGGAGGATTCAAGATCCTGAGTGTGTAGAATGCTGGCCTGTTCCAGAAATTGCAAGGGGGCTGTGTGGCCGGAGCAGAGTAGGGGAGAGCAGTGGGAGCCTTAGAACCACTTTAAGTAGTCTGGCTTTTAGTCAGAGAAATGACAACCTTTGGAGATTCTGAGCAAACGAATAAAATGATCCCATTTACAGTTTTAAAAACTGAGATAAAATTCACATAACATAAAGTTTACCATTTTAACCATCTGAAGGTAATTCAGTGGATTTTTAGCATACTCAGATGTTGTGCAACCATCACCACTAAATTCCAGAACATTCTCGTCTCTCCCAAAAGAAACCCTGTACCCATTAGGCAGTCACTCCCCTCTCCCCTCCCTCCAGCTCCTGGCAACCACTAATCTACTGTCTCTTATATATGTTTTGCTGGTCATTACATACAAATGGAATCATACACTATGTGGCCTTTTGTGTCTAGTTCCTTTCACTTAGCATGTTTTTAAGGTTCATCCATGTTACAGTAGTATTCAGAACTCCATTCTTTTTTCTGGTTGAATAATGTTCCACTGTATGGGTATCTATTCATCAGCTGATAAGACACTGGATGTTTCTACTTTTTGCCTGTTATAAATAATGCTGCTATGAACATCTGTGTACAAGTTTTTATGTGAACAAATGTTTTCCATTCTCTTGGGTCCATTTATATTTTAAAAGAACACAAGGGCTGTAGGTGGGCAAGGATGGAAGTAAGGAGACTGGTTAATACACTAATAATCCTGGTGATGGAAAAAGATGGCTGGGATCAGATATTGGCTATTGGCAGTGGAAGTGAAAAGAAATGGGTTTTTCTGAATATATCCTGAAGGGAGAGCCAGCAAAATTTCCCAATGGACTGGATATAAGATGTGAGAGAGGAATCAAGGATGACCTCAAGGTTTTTGGCCTGAGCCACTGGATGGATTGAGTTTCCATTAATTGAGATGCCATTAACTGAATTGTGGGTGGAGCAGATTTAGGGGGAGATGATCAGGAGTTTAGTTTTGGAGTTAAGAGTGAGACTTAATAGATACCCAAGAGTTGAGGCAAAGCCATCAGACTCCCTGGAATCTGTCTGGAAGGGACCCAAGGGCTAAGCCCTAGAGTACTTTATCATTAAAAAGTCAGATATAAAAGGAAGACATACCAAAGGAAACTAAAGACTCGCCAGTGACAAAAAAGGGAAACGAAGAGAGCATGGTGTCCTGAAAGGAAAGTGAAAAACAATGTCTCCAGGAAGGAGGAACAACACAGTAGGCCAAATACTGCTGAGAGTCAAGTCAGACCAGGCCTGGAAACTGCTGACTGAACTTACTCATGTGCAAGTTGTGAGTGACCTTGACAACAGTTCCAGTGGGGGGGGGGGGTAAAATGCGAAAGCCTGGTTACAGTGGGCTTAACAGAGAATGCAAGAGGAATTTAAGACAGTACAGAGGACCTGTGAGGAATGCTGTCAAGGGGGCACAGAGGACTAGGTGATAGGTGAAGAGGGAAGTTAGCTCAACATTTTTTTTTAAGATGAAAAGAACTAAAAGCTTTTTTTTTTTTTTGGTATGTTGAAGGAAATAATCCAGAAGAGAAGGAAAAACTGATGTAGTTTCTTCATCAGTGGAACAGGAATAGTAAGGTATTGTTATGAGGATTTAATGAATTAATAAACACAAAGCATTTAGCATGGCATAAAGCATGCACTCAATAATGCTTACTTTAAAATAAACACAGAATATCAGGCTACTCCTAGTGACAAACCTGGTTGGGGAATTAGAGGACATTATAAACCCAATTATCAAGTCAATTCATAGCACAAGCAAAGAAAAAGGGACATGAGTGAAGTGAAAAGGGACAGGAGACTGAAAGCAGATTTTCTATTTATATTTACATTTATATATTCAGTCCCAACGTGAGCACAGTAAAAAAAAATATTCACAGCAGAGAAGAGTTTCACCAAGCACCCATGAGAATCTAAAGTAATGGTTTCTTCTTTTCCCCCTCAGCACTAGGGCTCTTATTATTTTGCCTCTCACTGACTTCACAGTTGGAAGTATTTTCATCTACTAAACAGCATTAAGTGAAAACCACTTTGATTTCTCAATTTCAGCAATCAGAGATGCAACTGCCCTAAAGCAACAAAAGAGGCCCAGTGTTATCTGAGTCGATATAATTACAAAGGTAGACAACTATGTTTTTTAATTAACCTATACAACTTTACTCCGGATAAAGTGTATTTTTCATTAGATTTTCTGAATTATTAAGAGTCACACCATTTGTGTAGTCAACCTGGCAAATTCATCATATGTACAGGGTCCAAAGATCGACAGACGGGGGACACAATCAGCTCTAGTGTAAAAAAGTAAAAGCAAGACAGAAATGTTACTGTCTTAGCCCAGAGAAAAATAAATCAAAGGGAAAATGCAAAACAAACAAACAAAAAACCAAAAGAGTTTTTTGTCCTTTTCATTTTTATTTTATTTTCTGTGAATTTAAGGGTTGATATCCTTGAGGTTTTATAAAGGATTTCCAAGAGTGATGTACACCACATACTGAAAGATACCCCCGAAACTGGGGAAACCAATGACCTGCATACCTCTATACCTACACTGGGTCTGTCTTCTTAGAAAAACCAGCCTTGATTTTGCGATAGTCTTTTGTGCCAAATTAAATTATCCACCAAAAACAGAATGGATCTAACTCTCTGCAGGACATACTGTAATACATCAAGCCACCTAAAACAAAGACATGAACTCAAAAATCTAAATGGTTATTATCTTCCAACGTACTCTCTCTTCATTATACCACTCCCCGAAATGTACTTCTCTCCTTTGTTTATAATGTACTTTACTCATTGGCTTGACTATCTTTCACTATCACCACCCACTCTGTTATTTTAGATTTTAAATGCTTTCAGGGCAGCAACTGGCAAAGACTCCCATATAATATAATTACAGCACCTAACGCACAGTTAACACTCAGTTTATGTTAAATAAATGAATGCTTTTAACAAAGTCAGAGCCAGGACCCTCCATGGCAAACACAAACTAAAACCTTAAATCTAAAGGTATTGAATGATTTTATAGAGAATGAGCTTCTAAAGCAGAAAAGCTAATGTGAAAGGGGCATAAATACCTGCTGGAACTTATATAAATCGTTATACTTTTCATGGAAGTCCAAGTTCAAAAGTTCCTTCTGAAGTCCTTCTAAGAAGTTTTGGCTTTGGATGAAGTTTGGGATCACGCAGTGAAGAAAGGGGTCCATGTCCATGGCAATGGCTTCTGTTGGGAGGAAAGCATTATCTATGGCTTTTTCCCTTTTGTATTTTTGACCCGTGAATAGTACAGTAGAGAGAATACAAAAGGGATGGTCATGAATTTTCAGGAACCTAGTACGTAAAGTCTAAGATATGGGGGAAGAATTATAAGCTCTTCCCTTTTTCTCTTTACCCACTCAATACTACTTTTTAAAGATATTGTGCTTAAAAATATTACTCCTTAAGGTGAGTACAGGTGATGTCACTAAAATAAGGCTCCCATTCTTTTTGCTTTTTTTTTTAATTCAATGATTACTTATTTAATTGAGTGTATTTCAAAGTCTTAATTCATTCCTGTCCCCAAACTTAAAATGAGAGCAGCAAATTTAAAATGAGAATAGCAATACTGGTTGGCAATTTTTCTTCAATCCTTTTTTCCTTCTCCAAGTTACTGTCAGAAGAAGTTACAACACACATACTTTTAAAAAAAAATTTAGGCATAACCGCCTCTAACGCCTTAGTTTTTACCTCAATGTTTTGCCCACTGCTTATAGTGGGATAGATTAAGCACCCCTCTGATCACCACCACCACCCCCCACCAGGTGCCAGGCACAGCGGTGCTTTACATGCATTATTTAATTTAATCTCAACAACTCTAAGGTAGACAGCATCAATATCTTCATCCCACGGATAAGGAATCTGAAAAATCCTTGAATGTACAGAGCTTGCACTTTAAACACTGAGCTATCACTTTCCACAGGCATCTGGAAAACCCAGGATTCACCTCTTCAAAGCACTTAACCACCGAAACAAAAATCATGGCAAACTTTCGAATGGAAAGCATGATGCATTAAGCAGAGTTCTTATCCTATAGGGTGATATTTGAAGCTGAGGCTGGAATCGTTCCATGTAGGTTCCTTCCTTTAGTCAAAATATGTTTACTTTCATGGGTCATGTTGTTGAACTACAGGCCTGCAAAATCGAGTAAGCTTAGGTGCCTGCTATCTGGCAGCTCACAACAATACGCTTTCATGGGACAACCAAACGTGATCCTCGGAAGAAAAATAGCATAAGCCACTCAAGTATGAGTCCAAATGTTTACTGGTCCTTATTCAGGAAGACATGTATTGATGTATACATACATTACTTTATTGATCTCATTCAACATGAGCTCTCCAAGGGAAATACTATTAGTTATTCTACTTTACACAGGAAGGAGCTGAACCCATTGCTCAACCAAGCACAATTAGTGGAGAAGATTCTAACTCAGTAATCACTAATTTCAGAATTTCCATAACTTGCATGTCCTCTACTTCGAGAAAGTCCCTGGCCTAAATTTCTTTCTCTTCTAGGTTTCTAAATCCAAACATAACTTGGAGTGAAAAGAGACAACAGGCCAAGTAGGCGAGTCGGAGGTGGCCAAAGTCACACTCTCTCCAAGAGCCTCTTCCCTTTTCGCCTCGCAGCTCAGGAATCGGCTTGAGCGCCGGGACTTTTTCAGAGGCCCCCAGATCCGCGCTGCGCTCCTCTCTTCACAGTACCCGCTTACCGTGGTGGAACGGCGTCCTGCGGCTCCAGGCCTCAGCCACCTGCTTTTTCAAGATTTCCTCCATGACAGCATCCGAAAACTTCGCCATTATCTCCTTCTTTCCTTTTTTCCCCGGCCGGCCGGGGCCGGGCTCAGCAGGCCGCTTCCCATTCATCTCGCAAGCTACGAGACCCACGCCACACTGATCAAGCAGCTTATTTCCTAAGGAGACTACAATTCCCAGAATGCCCGCTTTCCTGTGCCATCCAATAGTAAGTACCAAAGTGAGAAGAGGCGGGACCAGTAATGATAGACCAATCGAAGCTCCATATATTGCAACTATCTCAGCAGCGATTGGTCCGATGGTGCCCTGCCACCGCCTCTCTACTTCCTGCCGCCAGAGGGTCAAGATGCATTTCCGGCGTGCGTACGCCTCCTCTTGCGCTCTCATCTTAATGGCGGGCGGCGGCTGCTGAGTGGGACGTAGATAACCGCTGCCGGCACAGGGAAAGTCTCCCTGCCTTCCCCTTTCCACTCGCAGCTAGCGCCGGAGCTCGCCAGCATGTCCGTGGTGCCGCCCAATCGTTCGCAGACTGGTTGGCCCCGGGGGGTCAACCAATTCGGCAACAAGTACATCCAGCAGACCAAGCCCCTCACCCTGGAGCGTACCATCAACCTGTAAGTGCGGCGTGGCCTTCGCGCGCTATCTACTGGGCATCCCCTTCCTCGTGAGCGCTCCGAAAGACTCCAGTCTTCTTCCGGTGGACCCCGCGCCTCCCCACCGCCCCCACTCCTGCTCTCGGGGGCGCGTCTTCTAGCTCTCTCACGCCCCTTCCTCGACCTGCAGAGCCATGGTGTTGGAGTCCTACTTGAGAGGGTTTCCCTTTCCCCTTTTCTGGAAAGAAGGTGTATTCCCCTGTCTCTGTATTAAGTTATTGTAGGAAAAACCCATTTGCTTTGAACTCATTCTTTCCCCACCTCTCCAGAGGTAACTAACCGAAGACCGTGGTTTTTATCCTTTCGGTCCAGTAATTATGCTTTTACGTCGCATATATGGTATTGTTTTGTGTGTTTTTATTTAGTATAAGTGGTATAACGTAGCATCGTTTTTGCGGTTTTCCCTTTGCACCAATAGTAAGCTTTTGAAATCTTAACTGTAATGCGCAGGTTTAGTAGATTTTTCTTCTATTGCTTTATTGCTTTTCAGTTCCTGAGTACACCACATTTTATTTATCTTCTCAGGGCTGTCTGGGTTGCCCTTTGCATACACATGTCTTCTCTGCCGCAGCTACAGCATCCAAGCACACTGAAGGCCCCAACTTGGGAAGGTGCTGAGGCTTTCCTTGTGGCTGGGCTTTCAGACCGTGGAGGGGACCAAAATGTAGCTCCAGAGAACCTATTGTTGACCGCGTTTTATTTTCAGCATCTTTCTGATTAACCTCTTCAAGCCATTGCATTTCGAATCCACTCTCGAAAGTAGTCTCGCTGTGGCAGAGAATTGACATTGGACTGTGCCTTGCTCAAGAAATTGTTAGTATGGTCTTTTTTTAAAGAGATCATTTCTGAAAGTTTGTGAGCCACCGTGATGCTGACCCTAATGGAGGAAAGTGGCCAGCTTATGCCGGTCGGTGTTTAAAAGGTGCAAGGATTTAGTGATACTGGTGTTTTGGTAGGACACTTTAGGTGTTTCTCTGTTTTGTATTCAAATAAATGAACTTTTCCTCCTCAAAAGCAATTTGAAATTGAAAAGATAATTATCTTATTTGACAATTCAGGTGCCAGCTTGGAAATACAGATAATAAAAATGTTGGATTTAGGAAATCTGGAATTTATTTAATAGATAGTTACATGTATGCAAATTGATATCTCTAGCCATTACATTAACATAATAGCGTTTTAATTTCATATCACATATTTTTAAAAATCCTCATAGTTTCCCCATGAAATGGAAAAGGCAAATACTCTTTTATGCTCTTTTAAAAAATGGGAAAGCACAACCTCTGGATTACTTTCAGTGGTAATTAAAGCTAGAACTGACAGTTTTTCCTTGATTTACCTTGATTACTGGATCAATTTGCATCAAGCCATTATGTAGAACTAACTTGGTGAACATGTTTTCATCTTGGCTCCAGTAAAGTTATGGATTAATGGTGTTGTAGTATTTTAACTCCTATATAAATACAGTATTCAGAAATAATTGTGTTGTGCACTTAGTTCACCTGGATGAGTAATGGTCTAAATGGAAAACAGGCTCTCTCCCCTCCAATATATTTCATTAGTTGCATGAATGCTAACTTTGTAGCAGGCACCAGGCATAATGCTGGGTATAGAGTGGTGAGGAAGTAAGGTGCAGTCCCTGCTTTGCAAAGCTCACACTCTGATGGAAATGATACATATGTGTTTGAACTTGATTTCACAGCTGAAAATTCTTAACATTTGATTTTGATGGCATCTCTATTGATGTGAGAGCTGACTTTTCTGGTAGAGATGTGTTAAAGCTATCTTTAATTTTTCTCACTCAGGTTGTGAGAACTAAATGTTAATACATGTATAAAGCATTTTATTTAAAAATCTGCGGTGCACACTGCATGTGTGATTGTTGCTACTAATGATGAAGATGTTAGATTTAGCATTGGGTCTACTGGGAGAAGTTCTTAAAATCTTTAAAGCATCCTAGAAATAGCTCATTTTAGTTATTATAGAGCTGTTTCACTTATGCCTAGAATTTGGCTTCTGGAATTAAAATAAGTTTTGAAGTTCTGGAAACCTTGATTTGTTCCCCTTTTAGGAATAGCTAAGTGCATTAGTTATGTAGTTGACTTTAATGCAAGGCATTTTGGTAGAATAGATACCTTGGGGATAGGGCAGGTGTGGCCAAAGCATTCTTAAAGGCTTCTTACTGGAAGGCTTTTGATTGAAGGGTTACAAGGTAGTACTTGTGATGAAATATGAATACGGGTTTTTAAACTATCTTTAATGAAAAATTTAATCATTACTAGGCAAGACGATGACTGTCTTTTATAGCTATATTTTGAATTCTTGATAAAGGAGAATATTTAAGATTACATCTCGTGGACAGAAGATTCAAATGAGAAGGGAAGAATAAGGATACTGAATAGAATAAATACAGAAGGCTGAAAAATCTAGATGGAAAAGAAGAGTTCATCTGAAGAGGGAAGGTACTGGAAAAGTCTGAAGATAGTTGACTGGGAGAAATAGAAAATAACTGGAGAGATGATGGAAAGTGGTGGCTGAGCTTGTAGAAAAAGAGATATTGGCCATTAGAGCTCATAATTAATAGAGCTTATGATTAGATTAGTAGAGAAACCCAGGGACATATTAGCCAGGTTGACAATGTTAGTATAGCATCCATGATCTAAAACCAGAGGATTATTCAGATAGCCACTCCTCTAAGCATTTAAGGACCATAAGAATAGTGTTATCTGTGCTTGAAAGTTCAAGTATGAAGTAGCAGCTTGATCTAATGGAAGCTCTGGCTTTAAAGTGCAGAGTTAAATTCTGATCTTTGCTGTCTGATTAACTAACTTAACTTTGGACAAATCCTATGTCTCCGAGTGCAATACATGCACATTTTACTGTGGTTTCTTATCTGTGATTGGTATCTGACCTGGTAAATGATGGTTTGTAGTTCTCATATTGGATGTTTGTCTTTGGATCCCAGGTACCCTCTTACCAATTATACTTTTGGTACAAAAGAGCCCCTCTATGAGAAGGACAGCTCTGTTGCAGCCAGATTTCAGCGTATGAGGGAGGAATTTGATAAAATTGGCATGAGAAGGACTGTAGAAGGGGTTCTGATTGTCCATGAGCACCGACTACCCCATGTGTTACTGCTACAGCTGGGAACAACTTTCTTCAAATTGTAAGTTCATTGGAAATTAACAGTAAGATAGCTTTTAATAGGATTGCTCTTTTATGCAGCTTTGGAATATAATTTTAGCCCTAAGTCATTTATCTCAACAACCATTACTGTTAATGGAGTCTTTAGAAAGAGAAAATCACATTTTTTTCTCCAGTGCAGTACTCATTTATTGCCTAACTAGAAATCTGCACGTTTCTATGTATTGTTAATGTTAATGACTACGCTTGATAGAAGCCATGTGAAACAAATGAGTCCAAGTTCAATTTCTAGATGTCATTGTAGCATTACTAAGAACAATTGATTTTACCTCTTTCTTAGGGTAAATAGTGTTTCCTGGTCTTAGAATGGCTTACATTTTGTAGATAATTGTTTGGTTTTCTCATTTTTAAATCTCTCAGTACACATTTAATCCACAACTGTTTCATAAGATTGTACCAAAAAGAGTTCTCAAATATTTAGATTGTAGTTTTTGAAAAATGCCCCACTCTTCAGATCTAGAGAATGTGGGTACATGGCTCTCTGGACGTTTCTAGACTCCATTATCACCAGATAGCTTACAGAGAGAAGAGATTGGGATGTACTAGTTTCCAGCAATTATGTGATGTTTATGTTGTGGTACATATTTTGTTTGTTTAAAACTAGGGTTTGTGTACTGTTAGTCTGTTGAATAGACATTATGAATTAAACTTTCTAGCACATTCTTTCCCCTTCATTTGACATTTGTTTGCTTTGATTGCCGTATCATGTGACACTGAAATGTGTATTATGCAGTTACTTGATAGAAATGGTATTATTTTGTTCTTCCTGTTATCCCCAAATTGTATTAAGTTGAAAGCTGAAATTCTTAACCTTTATGCAGACCTGGTGGTGAACTTAACCCTGGAGAAGATGAAGTTGAAGGACTAAAACGCTTAATGACAGAGGTATTTTTCTGTTTAACCACTTGGACGATTTTATTAATGCTCATCTAAATACCATCAACTTAATGCATAATTAGGCCTTTTTATGTTTTGTGAAAAGGATGAGTTTATTTTAAATATTTGGTTTTCAACACATAAAACTTAAAACTCAGAGTGTTTATTTTCTGCAGGTTGAACTTAACACATCATCTTAACATTCCTTTTCATTGAAATTTTGATGTAGCAATAATGGTTAATAAAACAACATTTCCTGAGTACTGACTGCTAAGCTTTGTTCTAACTAAGTGCTTTACATGCGGTAACTCTTTTAATCACCACAACAACACTAAGAAGTAGGTACTATTGTAAATCTCTAGGACACAGGGAGATCGATAACTTGCTTGATGTTATATTGCTAGTATGTCATGAAGCTGGACTTTTGAATGCAGGTAGTTTTGTTCCAGAGTAGGCACTAATAGAATTTTGACAAGACAATGATTTCTTTTATATACCTATTTTCATTTTTGCACGTATTTTTTAGGCTTTTTCCAAGATGTGCTACTTTTTAGAAGTCATTCTAATGTCTACCTTTAAAGCAATGGGGCCAAATGCATAGATGCTGAAAGTTTTTGAGATTGTAGGTTGTTTTCATTATTAAATGTTTTTCTTTTTTAGCATGTAATCTACCCCTTAATTACAAAACTAATGTATGTTCTGTGCAAAAACCTTGGCAAATACAGAAAGCAGAAGGAGAGACAAAAATCACCTGTAATTATACCACTTTAACCTATTGATTTGTCTTTCTAGTGTTTTTAAATGGACTGCAACTCTTAGATACTGTGCTGTGTTTGGACTTACATTTACATATGGTAGATGGAATCTACCTGCTTATCTCAGCTTTTTCTCAAGATTCCACCAAGAGGCAATAAAGGAGATTAAAAAGATATAAATCCAGTAGGATTGAGGGAGTGCAAAATGAGACAGTAGCAAGAAAAATTTTTTAGAAGCTGGAAAGCCGGTGAGCAAATTGTAACTGACTTAGCAGAAACCTCAGCCCAGCGTGAGGGCAGTCCAAGACACAGCATTGCAGAACAACAAAAAGGCTAAGGAATTGGTACCTATGAAAGTGGGGGCATGCCTGGACTGAAAATTGAATTGACTGACAGTCTGTATGGGATGTATTTATATACCTACATTGTCTTCCCCAACTCTGTACGTTTAGGCAAAGACTGGCTGGTGATTCTCTGTAGAGAACTGAATCAGAAAATGCTAAGCAATCAAAAAGTTGAGAAGGTGGGGAGGATGAGTGAAAAAGTTTACATACTGAATGGTGAGACTTCAAGACTTCTCCTACAAGGCTGATAGTGTTAACAACTGGTTTTACATACCCCAGGCTGAAGGTTGGAGGTTTGTTTCTGGAGAAAGTGATCAGTTCCAAAAAATACTCTAGATGATAGATGGTGTTTGGGAATCTTCCCAAAGAAACATTGTAGTCCTATCTCTCATGCACACTGAGATGGGAATTAAGTATCTTATTTTTTTACCCTGAATTGTGAGCAGATAACCAAGTATTACCAGGCTTTTGGAGAAAGCTTCTTAACAGGAAAGAGATCAAAAGCAAAGTGAACTCGACAGAAACAGAAAATTCAGTGATCAACAGAATTATGATTAATATTCTTGATGTGATAAAAGGAGATTTTGCATCTGTAGAACAGTGCCCTTTGAAAAGAACTGTCTAGCCAACAAAAGAGAACTCATAAGTATTTAAATTAAAAAAAAAGGCAGAATGAAAAATTCAGTAGAGAGTTTAAAAGATTCAGTTGAGTTAACCTACTAGAAAGTAGAACAAAAAGATAGAACATAGGTAAGAAAAGGTAAAATTACTGCATTGTTATAGAAGGGCCAATATAAACTGCAGATAAATAGAACAGAAGAAAAGGAGTTAGCAAAGCAATAATTCAAGAAAATTTCCCAAACTTAATCATCAGTTTTCAGTTTGAAAAGACCTGCAGGCATGCCCTCTCTAATGAATGTTACAAGATTCATGAAGAGGCGTATCATGAAATTTGACGTAATAAGGATAAAGAGAAAATTCTAAACGCTTCTAAAGTTGGGGAGGAGGAATGGGGAGATGGACATGGGTTAAATAAAAAGCATCAAAATCAGAAATGGCTTCAACAATCCCAGAAATAATACTGGAAGCTAATCATGGAGCCTTCATAAATCTAGGAGTACATGATTTGTATCCTAGACTTTTCTGTCTAATCAAACTATAAATCAAGTATGCAGGTAAAATAAAGTTATTTCCAGGCATACAGAGTTTCCAAATATGTGACATCTCTTGTACCTTTTCTCAGGAAGCTACTAGAGGATGTTCACCACCAAAGTGAAAGAATAAACTAAAAAGATACAGGGTTCAGAATATAGAGAGGGTCTAACGACACAGGAGAGAGACCAAGGGAAGCCCTGGGACCCCAGCAGGGCTAAAAGCGTCTACAGATTGGAGCAGGGTGATAGAAAAATATTTCTTAGGAAAAATGAAATTGATAGAATAATTTATACTTGAACTGAGAAGAAATTTAAGCTCTTGTGGAGAATGTGGGAATGAATTAGTGATAGCAAATGAAATGTAACAGTTATTACCTCTCCAAAAAAGGATAGTTGTACAAATAGGGAAATGTAATTATAGTTTACTAAATATTGTATCTGATTCACCTAGTCATACTAATTTACTGAAAATTGACTTAAGTACTGATAATGGGAACATGGTAGAAGAGAAGGTATGAGCGGGGCATGCAGTTTTAAGATCTAAATTCTCATCCACGGTAGAGGGTGTTAATTGGTTTTGTAAAGTTTTTAAAAATGAAAAGCAGTCAGGAAATGGTCATAAAAGAAATGTTACAAATTAACTACAGTGACCTGACAAATACTTCCTCAGTCACGTGATCAAGGTTAAAATCAGTGATAAATCATGTTGCTAGAATATATCTGTGCAGTGAAGTGAAGAGAATGAAACTTTACCTCTATAATTTTCCTTCCCAAATTCCCCGAAATCCATAATCCCAGTCTAACTGAGGGACATTCTGCAAAAAACCTAACTAGTACTCTTCAAAATTGTCAAGATTATCAAAAATAAGGAAAGTCTGAGGAACTGCCACAGTCTAGAGGAGCCTAAGGAGAAATGACAAATGGAATGTGATATCCTAGATGGAATTCTGGAACTGAAAAAAAGACATTAGGAAAAAACCAAGGATATATGATTAAAGTAGGGACTTCAGTTAATAATAAGGCATCAGTATTGGTTCATTAATTGTGAAAAATGTGCCATCCTTGTGTAAGATGTTAATAGGGAAAACTGGGTATGGGATATGGGAAGTCTTTGTACCATCTTTTCAACTTTGCTATAAATCTAATGGGGATAATCAGTTATTTAAAAGCAAGAAGACACAGTGTCCTGGGTTCCATCCCTAGTACCTCCTCTAAAAATAAGTAAATAAAACCTAAACACCCCCCCCCAAAATAAAATAAAATAGAAGTAGGAAGAATGCTTTTAAAAATAGAGGCAAATATCTGATGGGAAAATAGCTAAGAGTTGAAAGTTATAGCCAGTGGGAATTGTGAAGTGGGACAGGAAACTTCTGTTTCTCATGATGAACTTTATAGGACCATTTTTGACCAACTAAAATTTATAGAGTATAGCTTTGATTAAAATATGTTTAATTTTATGCGATACAGATTTATAAAAATGAAAATTGTGAGTTTTGCACACCTCTGTAACTTGGTTACAGAAGCTATAGTTGAGTCTGATAAAAAACTATTGTATGCCATTGGCTGATGTAGGTAATTGGTCACCTTTGGTTTTCCATGCATAGCCTGGGTATAACAACAGATGTGTTGGCCCTCCATGATTGTGTTGATGCCAGATTGCCAGTTTTGAACTAATAGTGTATGTCTTGGGCAGAGTGACACAGATAATAAATAGTAAATTATAGAGAGGAAATCCATATAGGAGGTATAATAGCCATTGGTCTCCAATAGGAGTGCTGACAAAAATATTTTCTTCACTGAAGAAGGATATTCGTGGGTATGTGTATTTGGTTGTTTACTGGCTGTATTGCTTCTTTTTGACAGATACTGGGTCGTCAAGATGGAGTCCTGCAAGACTGGGTCATTGATGACTGCATTGGTAACTGGTGGAGACCAAATTTTGAACCTCCTCAGGTCAGTGTTCATTATATTTGCTGGGCAAATACTGGGGGACATAGGAAAGAGATTTAATTCCAGCCATTTAAAAAGATAGTAGAATTTGACTTGAAATTTCCTCTTCCGCCTACTTAATTTAAATAAAAAATTAAAAAGCCAAGCATTTTTTCTTTTAAAGGAAAATTTCAAAATATACTAAAGTTGAATAATAAACGTAAGTAAATACCATTACCTCTCATCTGCCTTCAGCAGTTAGCACTCGTGGTCACACGTCGTCAGTCCTGTCCCCCCCGCTGCCTTGTTCCCGCTGTTCCCATCTTCAGTTGTTTTGAAGCAGATCCTAGATACAATTTCAATTGTAAATATTTTATTATGTATCTTTAAAAGGTAAGGATCTTTCTGAAAACATAACCACAATACTACCATTATCTAAAAACAAAAAAATTCACAGTCGTTATATACGTAGTCACTATTCACATAGCTTTGAGTTTTATTTTTATCTTACTTTTGTAATTTGTTTGAATTAGGATAGTTCTTAAGTCTCTTTTACATCTATAGATTGGCTCCTTGTCTTTTTTTCCTTATAATTTATTTGTTAATGAAAACAGATCACTTAAAATCTTTAGTGTTTTCATCACTGATTGCATCCCCCTGTTATAGAACACGTAGCTCTTCTCTATAAATTGGTAGTTAGATCAAGAAATTGGATTTGGACTCAATTTTGGGGGGAAACAGGTACATGGCTTGACATACGTATGTATATTATTTATCTATTGCTGTATCATATATGTCCCCAAAAATTAGCAGCCTAAAACAACAGACCTTTATTATCCTAGTTTCTCAGGGTAAGGCCTCTGGGAGCTGCTTAGCTGAGTGGTTCTGGCTCATGAAGTTATGGTCAAGTTCTCGGCTGGATTGCATTATCTCCAGGGTAGTCTGAAGCTGAATTACCCGATCCCAAGCTCACACGTATATTTGTTAGCAGACCTCTCAGTTCCTTCTGGGCTGTTGGACTGAAGGTTCAGTTTCTTGCTGGCTGTTGATCGAGGGCCTCCCTCACTTGCCATGGGAGCATCGCCTTCAACAACTCCCAGTGAGACAGCTGGCTCCACCCAGAGCCTGTGATCTAAGAGATAGAGACCGTGCCCAAGTAGGAAGCTGCAGTCTGTTACAACCTAACCTTGGCAGTGACGTGTCATTTTTGCAGTCTGCTATTGGTCACACAAACCAACATAGTACATTGTGGGAAGGGACTACACAAAGGTGCAGATACCAGGAGACAGGGTTGTGAGTCATCTTGGTGTCTGGCTAGCATGGGTAGTATGGTGTACTTCCATCAGGAATTTTATAATATCTGGTTGTCTCTTTTTGTAATGTTAGCAGCTCATGGATAATAGTTTTCCTAGATCTATTAATTCATCAGAATTGTGATACTTAGGTAAAGAGAAACTTACCAACTATTTGTGTACCCTGAGGTATAGTTTGTGTAGGAAAGAATATATGCTTCTTTTCCTCCACTTACCAGTTGTCAGAAGAATGAGTTAATTTCTTAGCATCCGCCAAAGGCTTGACTTTACTCAAAAGGGAGAATAAGACAAAGACTTGGGTGCAGATTGTTTGGGAGGTGATCCCAGGAAGCAGCAGAGTACCGGGCAAGGGAGACCAGAAACAGCAGAAGTCTGTTGTACATAATTGATCTTATTACAGCTGTGGGTAACTGGATTAGTCTTGCTAAGGACTGTGGGGAACCATGTGGAATGCACCTCAGAGTTGTCCATTGGAAGAATGGAAGGCCAGGGACTTCTGTCCCCCATTGGATGAGAGTTGTAAAACTCTTGCACTTTGATGTTGAAGCTGAACACTGGTTGAGAGAATATCCAGGGCTTTGGGAATCCTCTGAGGCTGAAAAGGAAGAGTGGGACAGTGGCAGCAGCAAGGGAGCTTTCTGACACTTTGAAGCACAGCCTCCCTGAAATCTGAGGTGGGATGAGAAGCACAAAAAGTGTCTGTTTCAGTGACTCTTTAAAGTGGTATTTGACCTCATGGATTTAAATATATTTGATGTGTTTTAATCCATTGTAATGATGGATAATGTTACTGATGTGCAGTGTTTCCTATTTTTGACTAATGGGAGCCTTTGTAAGTTGGATGTATGAGTTTGATAGCTTCTTTGCATGACATGCTGTTCCAGGTGACAGATTGGACAAAATATCAGTCAGGCAAAAGATTGTTCTGTCTGTCGTCTTCTGACCAGTGTAGCTGAGGGATAGGAAGAAGAGGTGCTGTGGAAGCTGGTGCTGGTGCTCACTCCTGGAGAACTGCCCAGGCTTTGAGAAAGTATAATTGCATCTGGAAATAGTGAAGTTCCTGATCCAAAAATACGTAGAACAATTATTTTGAACTTTTTTTGCTTTCTTGAACATTCCATAACCTAACTGGAAAATACTCTTAATAATAGCAATGTTTTCCAGGCTGCTTTCTGAATACCCTCATTCATATCCCTTACCATGGTTCTAGGACAGTTCTCTTAATTCACTGAACCCTAAGGTTGTCTCTGATAGTATAAGATACAACATAAGGGTTGTGTGTTTGTTTAGTAAACTTGGAGTATTGGTGAGGTGGGAAAAGAGCACGACACCATCTTCTTGTTCTTCTTATATAAAGTGCAGTTGGCTTAAAAAGAGGAGAAATGGGAGAAGGGTTTACACGAAAATGAACATACAGCCTTGAGTAGAAGAATATTGGGGTAATGCTGGTCACTGGTTTGGTCATGGTTTGGGAACTTTTGTTGTGTGTGAACCACAGTTCTCTTAGCCTGTGCTGTTTAAGCTACTTCTCACCTATCTCTCTGTTGCTGCCAGTGTACCTGGTTTTCATGATAGTATAGGGTAACTCCAAAGTCTGGGGTAGCTGTCTTGATTCATACCCTAGGGATGCCTCTAGTGTATACTTATTCTAACCAGAATGCTGGTTAGGTGCCATTGGGGCAGCGCAGTGGGTAATAACATCAGCATTTGTAGTTAGATTAGAGTTGGATAGATTCAGTTGAGTCCTGGCAACACTGCTTAGCCGTATCTTCTTGGGAAAGATACTTAGCTTCCCTGCACAAGTTCTTTACATAAAATAAAGGTGATAATACTTCCTTTTGGCAGCCTCTGTTTTTATTCTCCTTTCCTGTTACGCCTATTTTCAGCACTTTTTAATTCCCTTGCCCTCAAATACTCAAAAAGAAAAATAGATTTTTCTGAATGTGTCATGGGGAGATGCAGGAGAGGTTTTCATTCTATACAAACTGTAGAACAAAAGTCTCTATCTTAGGCTTTCAAAGTCCTCTGTGTTAAAATTCTTTCTCAGGTAGCAGCCTCCCCTTTCTAATTCTCTTTATTCCTTTAAATTCTCCGAAATATTTTCTCCATTTTCCCAGGCAATTTGACTTTGTCTAGCTGGCAAAAACTTCTCATCTGATATTTCTGCAGCATGTAGCCAGTGTGCTCATATGGTGGTTGTGGGGTAGAATGTTCTGCCAAATACCTCAAGAGGTGTATTTAAACTTTTAATATAGTAAACATGTCTGCATCAGCATTCCAGAAAATTTAACTTAGTAATGATATATTTTTAAAAAGACAACTTTTATCAAAAACACTCCACTAATATCAGACTTCGTTGTGTTTTAAATTTATCAAGCTGTAAATCTTGTGTCTTTACACATTTAATTGTCTTGAATGATTGAATGGTTTACTACTTGATATTTTATATTTATTAAATCATTTGTCTGTACATCTGTTAGGTACCAGATCCTGGTAAAGGGAAGACTAGAAAGAATTTTGCTTTTCTCAGCAGTTTATATTGTATTGGGGAATAAGCAAGACCATGGAATACGTGTTAAAATAAAATTGTATGGGGTTATGAGGAACTTGGTCTTAAAGGGCCGATATTTGAGCTTAATGTATGAAAGGGGAGAAGTTGGGAAATAGAGACATGGTGGGTATAAGAGATGTCTTGGCAACTACAAATTATTCTGTTTTGTTATTTTAGTATCCATATATTCCTGCACATATTACAAAACCTAAGGAACATAAGAAGTTGTTTTTGGTTCAACTTCAAGAGAAAGGTAAGTTACTTTGTTTTTGAAGGCAGCCATCTAAAAACTTTTGTAACATAATTTCAAGGATACCTTTATTTGTGTTTTCTCCAAGTTCCTTATATTTTGATATTTATTATAAAACTAAAAATGCATACCATTTTTATATAGAATTACCTAGTTTTTCTTAGATGTGCTAGCCATGTTATGGTGGAAGAGTAAGTATTTAGAGCCTAAAATACCAGCTTATAGTATTTTTAATAACTGTTTAGCTGCTGGTATTGATTTTCACATTGTGATAAGCTGAAAATTTTAGGAGACAGATGAATTTTTTTAATACCATCTTTAGCCCTGTTGTGCATATTAACAAATAATTATTCCATTCTTTATAATGTTCTTAAATTAGAATTCAAAATAAATTGGAAGCTCAAAGATTTTCTCTTCTCCCCATCCTCCCAGGGCTATCACTCATAAGGTCCTCTTGGTTGGTAATAATAGGATCTCTTTAGAGAGTCAGTTTCAAAGCTGTGGCTATGAACTTTGCTTAAAAGACAAAACCAGAATATACGTATGTGTATGCCTGACTGAGACATTGTTCTTACACCAGAAATTGACACATTGTAATTGACTGTACTTCAATTAAAAAAAAAAAAAGAAAACCAACCTGTTTTAATGAGAAATACCTCTTTCCTCAAAAGTTTCTCAAATGTAAAATTGGTGATTACAGGTGAAATGGAAGCAATGGTTATATAAGAAATTATGGAAAATGAATACCGTTTTATTTTATTTTAGCCTTATTTGCAGTTCCTAAAAATTACAAGCTAGTAGCTGCACCACTGTTTGAACTGTATGACAATGCGCCTGGATATGGACCCATCATTTCTAGTCTCCCTCAGCTTTTGAGCAGGTATGGACATTTTGTGGTTGATTCATCTAAACTGCTCAATTTAAAATAATCCAAGCCACTTGAGAAGGAATAGTCCATAAATTTTGGTCTTTAAGGAAACAAAGACAGTAGATGGATCCTTAGGCCTTGTGCAAGCCAAGGATTAAATATGACTGTGCATCCTTAGACCCTAAGGTGCAGCATGACTTTTGGTAATTGTGCATCTGTTCTTCCCCAAATCTGATATTCTCCACAGTCAAGTGTGAAGTCTTCATTCAAAGAAGAGATGGTCAAATAGTAGTCAGCAGTATATAATAAATATGAGAGGACGTATATATATAAAAACGTGGAGAATTGAATCTCTTGGTATAATACATAACTCTCTTTCCATCTGAAAATCTATTCAGGCTCAAATTGGGGCATGTGGGATTAAGTCCTTAATTTTTACATGGAGTTTTTGTTTTTGTTTTGTTTTTAATTGTACTGGTTGAGGAGCTTAAGTCAATCATAGATAAGAACTGCAGAATAATATAATGGTTAAGAATACAGATTCTGCAGTCAGTGTTTGGATTTGAATTCCACTTTCAGTGCTTCCTGGCAGTGTGACCTCTGACAAATGATTATACCTATTTATTCATCCGTAAATGGGGATGATAGTCCCAGCTTCATAGAATTGTGAGGACTAAGTGAAATAATGCATATAAAGTGCTTAGAATAGGTGTCAGGCACCTGGTAAGTGCTTAATAAATGTTAGTTAAAGAACAATTTCAGTAGTGGTTTTGACCGTCTATGAAAGCTTGTTTAGTATGAAAACGGGCTTCCTATTTTGGCACACTAATCGGACCTCATCTTTTGCTCCTCTGCTTTGGCCTGCTGATGGGTTACAAGTTGAAGTACGGGATGTGAAAAAAGTCATATTTTTCATTTATTTAAACACTACCTATCAGGTATCAGGAACTTGCTGAGTGGTCAGAATACAATGAGATAGGTGTAAAAGTTTTCCCTTCCTTCAAGGAAAGTGGATTATTAATCAAATGTACACTCTTAAAATTTTTTAAATTATAAATATTCAGTAATACTTATTTAATGTATAATGTATAATGTGACTGACAGGTGAAAGAAAAGGATGTCTCAGTGTAGAAAATGCCCAAAATATCAAGGGAGGGTTGAAATGTCTAAATTTCTTTATCAACTAAGATATAGCCTATGTAAATAATACTGTATTTAATAACGATATCATTCTTTTTAAAATTCAGGTTCAATTTTATATACAACTGAATTCCTGTGCAACGGAGAAGAAAGAGAAACCATCTCTGTGAGCACAGCTATACACAGTGTAGAATAAACATGCTAGGAAGGTTTTTTTGGTTTTATCTCTTTCCCAGTCCCAAAATTGCCACCTACTTTTTGTTGTTTGAATAGTAAAGTTAATATGGAAAACTAAATTGTGGTATAAACAAATGTGATGATGTTTAATTTACTTTTGGTTTTACTCATACTTTTTTTGTACAACATTAAAGAAAGTAGACTTCTTTCTATTTGTTTTTTTGTTGTTGTTTTGTTTTTTAGTTTCACATTAAATTTGTGAAATTCTTACAGGTGAGGATCTTACCCCACCCTCTCCCGCCACTGAACATTAAGAGACAATGGCAGGTCAAGTTTATGGGACCCTTGCTCTGATACCACTCTTGGGGGTATACTCCAAGACTATTATAGATCTTTGTGCTGAGGATCTTCTGGGAACTAGAGTTTCTTGATTTGAGTCTGAGGTGCAATTCCTGTACCAAATTTTATACTCATGATGAGTTATATTACAGCAGAACTCCCAGTATATTGCTGACTGGTACATTTCATACCAGTACAGCTAGACCTTAGTTCACAAACAATGGACCTTAATTAAGTATATGGGAAGCTATTAAAATTGTCTGGGTCAGGGAAAGTCATGGGAATTGGTATAAAAAGAGACTGATCAGTACTCATTTAGAGTTTTTCCCCCTACATAATGGGGGTATTCATTATTTGTGCTGTTGTGAAATTGTTTTAGACATTCTTAGGGCTATGGTAAAATGGTGATTTGTGAAGGAAGGTTCTAAAAGTGGGTCTGTTAATATTTTGAACTCTTAGATTGTAAAGTTATTTCAATTAATGTGAAGTTGTATCCATAGAGATGAGAATTTGGTTTTAACAGTGACACAAAGCCTTTTCATAAAATATTTTGGAATGAACTGAATCAGAATTAGATTTTGTCAGTCTAAGAGAACAGTACCAAATTTTGAAAACTTTTAAAAACATTGCTAAATTAGGATCAAATTTGAGGGAATAAAAAAAATCTTAGAGCAAAGGGATTTACTGGCTGTGTTATTGCTTAATGGTCAAAGTATATTGTGTATGCCTTACTACAAACTGTTGACTGTAGGTTAAGTAATGGAAATCTTATACAGCTACTTAAAAGAGATTGATAAAGTTATGTTTTTAATAGACAGAAATGAACTTTTGATTATTTGTACATCTTTATGGTACTGATCACAGGGCTGTTCTGAATATTGGGTGATGTGAAAGATAACATCATATATTCTTCCATACTCAGACTTGAGAAAAGTAGACCAAGAGCACCTGAGCAATTACATTTATAAACATTCAAGTTTATTTAGTTGAGGTCCTGTCAAACCTTCACACAGTTGTGTATCAAGTAGTGACTTAGTAGTAGGTGAGCACCAGTCTCAGACCAAAAATGACCAGTGGTTTCCTTTGAAAAAGGCACTAGTTCTGTGGATAGTCCTTCTCCTTCAGGGGCTAACAGTCCTGTCCCTCTAGTTTATATTAGCATGTTTCAAACTTACTGTAATTTTATTGTGGGCTCACTGATGAGTTGTACAAGATTAGGGAATGCAGAGATGGAGATGGCTCGATCCAGCTGACCTTCCATGATTCCTTCCGGCATCCAAGTGAAAAGCTGCTGTGACTACTTTCAGGTGTGTTAGCTCTTGTCATCTGGCGAGGCTGGGGAGAGGTGGACTTTTTCTTGGTGTGATTTATAAAGTGCTATCAGTAAGGAGTGTTTGAGTTGAAGAGTCATCTGATTCGAGGCCACTCGTGTCCTTTTGTAACTTAAGCTTTGACCTAGAAATTCTTTTTTGATCATTACTTCCCAATATTAAGTGCTTCAGTTAGTCATCCATACCCTGGGGCTTAGGTGAGAAAAACACTAAGTTGACTGAGTTACTAACTTTGGAATATAAGAGATCTGGTTTTGAATGTAAAATCCATAACAAATTTTTAAAACTGATTTTGAACTGGTCAGTTATAGTTGTATCCCAATACTCTCGTTTGGTTTCCTGATGAAAATAGTAGAACTAGGGGAGTTCAAATCTGATGTGTTCCTACAGCATTAGAAGAGTGTACAAGGGTACTGTTTAACACTAAGCTCTTTTGATGTGTAAGTTCTTACCACACTTCTCCAAAAACAGTCTTAAATTGTGCATTCCAGTTCTCTGCATAATAAATACTGACTAATTTTTAAATGAGCTCTTGATTAATGATTTGTATTTTTGAATGCCTCCTATGTTCCAGGTTTGTTTATAAATGAAAGCCCTCTTTTGCATTGTATAATTACAGTCTATGCCATGTTCCTTTCCCTGAGTAATCTGAGTAGTGCATATTCTATATAAAACTTAATGGCATTGGAAAATATTCAGTAGGTTGAGGGGAAAAAACTAGTTTTACTCAAATGTTTTAAATCATATTTAGGATTGACATCCCTTTGAAGAAAAGTGAAATTTGCTCTTTTTTTTCCCTATGTAATGAAGACTTGAGATTTTTTAAAGAGTAGATAATACTTAAAATAGCATTATGATAATTCTCTGTATGAATTTGTACTTTTAATAGCAAATCCGAAAGATTTTTTACGTATTGTCTTATCTTGTAATTAGCATTGTATGGTTCAGGTTTGTTTTTTTTTAATTTAAGGGTTCCATTAAATTAACATTTTATTTGGATAAAATATAACCAAACTTGCTAGTCTGTTTTCTGCCATGCTTAGTTAGAAGTGAGAGGTAGAGGTCCTCTAAATTCAGCAGGCCAGCAAGCAATCAACTTAAAATTCCCTTTCTTAAAAGATGTGACTCCCTTAAATTCTGTGACTCTTTACGCTCTCAGATTTTTAATGACTTTATTAAAGTACCTGCTTCATCACTTGAGATGAAATGCTTCCCACGTTGGAATTTCTCAAACTTGATGTTTTCACTAGTTTGTAGTGTTTGGAATAGCATGTGCCCATCACTAAGACTGCTTTAGAGAGTGTGTAGTTTTGTACGTCGCATTGTTAGAGAAGGCTTAGTGGGTTTTGACTATAATACAAGTCAGCTTATAAAAGCATAAGATTTGATTTCCCATAATTATTCCATATGTTTTACATCACTCATTTGGGTTAAACTGGACTCATTTCAAGCAGTTTGCCTTTGTTGTGTTAAATATGTGAGGAGAAACATAATACTGTAATTTGACTTGAGCCATGAAACACATTTTAGTAGTAGCTTGTATTATATTTATCAAGCTTGTTTTTGTGAAAAAACTGACTAAAACCTGAGTAAGTCTAGTTTAAGCCAGTTTAGGTGTAATTTGTATTTTAGCAATGGATATATTGTAGGACTAGAGCTAAATTGGTAAAATGTGTTATGTTTTATTAAGGGAAGGATCAGTGCATTTAAAAACTTGTAAACTTCAGTTACTGTGTTCACATCATAGTGTACAAGTGTCATTTATTGTTTGGCTTTGAGAATTTTTCTGGCACTAAGCTTATAGAAAAATGTATAAAAGAAACTGTAGTTTTTGTTATATTTTTATATTGTAAAGTAAAAGTTTGATTAAAATGGTCACTGTTCTTTTTTTATTTTACTGTCATTTCAATAAAAAAATTAGAATAACTCTGTGTGATTGTGTGTGTGGCTACTAACCTTAGTGTGCCATTAGAAATCCTGCACCATTCTTTTTCAGTGTCATTGGGCAGGGACCATTACATTAGGTAATAGACAACTTGCATAATATCAAGGGCATGAAGACCTGGGACAGCCACATTGCCCTCCCCTCGCATTCTTCCATTGTGTGTTGGCAGTGGTCTTAGGCAGATTCAGTTTCCTGCAATGTGAAAGGGTCATTGGATTTGGAACCTGAAGACTGGGATTTAGAAGTTGCCATACTATTTTGTTAACTGTTTTGTATCACTGGGGACTCAGTTTCCAAAGAGAGTGCTAACTTTAGTTTTTTTAATCAAACATGGCTGGAGGTCATGATGTTCTGTGACACCATTGATACTTATGTAATATTTTGCAATTTAATTTCATCATCTTAAAAGTTACCAAAACGTGAGATAGATGTGTAATAAAACCATAACCTTGAGACTATATCTGAACAAAAGTTGAACAAAACCTGATAAGGTTATTGCAAAAGTTCTTCTGAAAATTTTATTACTGAGTATTTTACAGCAGGCAAAAGAGCTATGAAAAATTATGAAAGAAAAACTAAAAATTGAAATGTTCCCATTAACTTAATTTTTCCCCTATGAAATGAGTTGGTTATTTTTTCCCCTCTTGCTAGATTTAGAAAAGGAACACATTGGTCCAGCTAATGAAAACACCGGCAGAAGTACATGGGCACACATTTAAGGCTACTGGATTAATGAAGTTCAGTTCCTGGGCTGTTGAGATCTTTAAACAACAACAAAACTACTCAGCCTTTCTCACTGGATGATGAAAATCAAATGAGATCATGCACAAAAGGATTTCAGATGCTTTTTAAATGGTAATAACGTACCTAGATGTGAATCTTCACAATTCTGGTTTGTTGGAAATGATTTCCTTTAGATCAAATCAAATAAGAGCCACCATCTCACAAAGATGGCAGGAAATTCAGTCTCAGTCATTATTGGAAGTAGGGGGCCTACCCAAAGTTGTAAGAATCCAGAAAGCATAAAAAGTGCTCTGAAACGAAGGTAGGGTTGGTGAGACCTCTAGCCTCCATCATGGACTTCTTGGTTACTTGTCTAAGCTGGACCAATTTCTTAAATTCTGGTTCTGTTGACTTCCTGCCACACTTGGGCCTTGGGACTCAAATAATGTAGGTGGTCCCTATGCCTATAGTCCAGCCTTCTGGGAACACTAAGTATTCATTCCCCTGAGTCTTCTTTCCAGCTCTTCTCATGATGTAGGATGCAGTACAAAGAACCAGAAGCATTGGTTGACTTCAGGTGGGTTCTCTCGTTGCAAAAAAAGTCCTTGAGGGAAGGATGTGCAAAAGCCTGGCCTACCTTCTTAGAGAAGGAGAGGACAGAATGTTGGTAGAACAAATACTAATTATCCTAGTAAAATGTCCAGATACAAACCTTTAAAATGTTTTAAAATTCAAATAGATAACCTTAAATATAGTTGGGTTAATGTCCCTATTCTCACATTGAATCTTCAAAAATTTGAAGCTTCTGAAAGTTGAATATTAATTTATAGTTTTTATGTAGTCAGAATCAAAAGTTAAAAGTTGCTGTTAACCGCTTCATAATGTCATTCCAGAAAATAGGTTGCCTAATTTTTTTTAACACTTAAAAAGTAGTGGTTATTTCAGAATATAAATCTAAAGAAGAGTATAGCACTTTGAATTCAAGCTGGTGGAGTATTGTACCTTAATAGGGGCAGATCTATTAATAGTAGCCCTTTTCTTAAGATGACAGGACAAGTTTGGTACATGATACGCTGTGGCTAGGACTGAATTTGAATAATCGGATAGGGTGGTTTAAAAATTATGGGGGCTCGCCCAGATAAAGTAGAACAGTTTCTTGGAAAATTACTACCTGTTTTTCATAATAAACCTTTTCTTTACCAATAAAGTAAAAGTTTAGCATTTTAATCAAATGGCTGCAACCAGAGAACAAAAGGGAACTGAAAGTCTAATCATATAGACCTCATATAAAAAAAGTGTGTGTGTGTAAATGTTCATCTTCTGTTCCACTAAAAGCCAAACTTGTGTTTCATCACAGGCACTTTAATAGGATTTTTCTAAAAATTACAGTGTATAGTAATAACCTTGAGCTGAGCCATCATTTGTTTTCTAATTAATAGTTAGGATTAGAATATTAGGCATAAAACACCTTGAAGATAATTTAGTCCTTTTCTTTTGAAAGTTTATATGATTCAACAAATCTTTATTGAACAACAGAGTATCACTTGGCAGTATTACAGGCCAGGGGGATACAATGAGGAATAAAACCCCCAAGGCAACACTTTTTTTGGTAGCACTTCTTTTGGTGTGTGTGTGACAACCCTGTTGGGCTATAACTCATGTATTTCACCATTCATTTAAAGTATATATTTAATTGATTTTTAGTATATTCAGAGTTGTGCCACAATCACAATTTTAGAACATTTTCATCATTTCAAAAAGAAATCAATGTTTAGCTTTTTTGCCTCAGTTCCCTGCCCTCCCTAAGCAACAGTTAATCTACTTTCTGTGTATGTGTATTTGCCTATTCTGGACATTTCATGTAAATGGAATCACACTATGTGGCTAAATGTGTGGCTGCTTTCACTTAGTATGTTTTCAAGTTTTGTTTGTGTTGCAGCGTGTATCAGTACTTCATTCACTTTCACAGCTGAATACTATTCCATTGTAGGGATAGCCCTTATTTTTTTATTCATCACTTGATGGACATTAGGGTTGTTTCTTTTGGCCGTTGAGAAAAATGTTGCTACCCACATCTGTGTGCACGTCTTTTGTAGAGGTACATTTTCATTTCTCTTGGGTATATACCTAGGAGTGGAACTGCTAGGTCAAATGGTCACTGTTAGGTTTAAACTTTTTGAGGAGCTGACTCTTCCAAAATACATTCCTACCTGGTGTATGAGGGAACACATTTTATTTCCTGCTAAATCAGGTTCATTTTAGACTCTGCTGTTGGTTACTAATAAACAGCAGAAACTTAAGACAACTTAATCTGTGAGGAATTTAAGACCACTAATGAATATTTTTTGTGTCAGGGCCTCTACTGTTCCCTAAACACCATCTCCTCTTTCAGCCACCTGGGAAGCTTCTAGGCCCACAGCAGGGCTCCAGGGTAACCTGCTTAAGGTAGGTTAAGGAAACAAGGGACAAGTGATTGGACGCCCAGTGGCGGGGGTCCCCGCGTCCCGCGGACGGGCCACACAGCCAGGGCTCTACCGCCCGTCAGCGCCCAGCGCCGCCGGGCCTGAGTGACGCTTGGGCTCGGCCCCGGGCGGGTGTCCTGTGCGTCCGAGGG